TGGATCTACAGAAACTGAACTGAACTTTACTGTGTTCTACATGAATAAAACTGAACTTTACTGCGTTCTACATGTGTTCTACATGAATAAAACTGAACTTTACTGTGTTCTACATGAATAAAACTGAACTTTATTGTGTTCTACATGAATAAAATTTAACTTTACTGTGTTCTACAGAAACTGAACTTAACTTTACTGTGTTCTACATGAATACAACTGAACTTTATTGTGTTCTACATGAATAAAACTGAACTTTACTGTGTTCTACATAAACTGAACTGAACTTTAATGTTTTCTACAGAAACTGAACTGAACTTTACTGTGTTCTACAGTAATAAAACTGAACTTTACTGTGTTCTACATGAATAAAACTGAACTTTACTGTGTTCTACATGAATAAAACTGAGCTTTACTGTGTTTATTGTATTGATTCCTGCTGTTGTTGATATCTGGTTCTACAGAAACTGAACTGATGGGATTTGGCCCTTTATGGAGATGTTTGTTGGGATGTGGTGCTACATAAATAAAGTTAAACAGAGTTGTCCGTGTGCGTCCTGTAGGGGGCGCCTCACCTCCCTTCCTTCCTTCTCCCTCTCTCTCTCTCTCTCTTGCCCTCTCTCTCCCTCTCTCTCTCTCCTCCAGGGTTCTTCCCCCTAAAGGCAGTTGTTTCCTCCCTGTGTCTCCTAGTGCTGCTTATGTTTGTTGATATCTGGAGCTACAGAAACTGAACTGATGGGATGTGGTGCTACATAAATAAAGTTAAACAGACTTGTCCGTGTTTCTCCTGTAGGGGGCGCCTCACCTCCCTCCCTCCCTCTCTCTCTCTCTCTCTCCCTCTCTCTTTCTCTCTTTGGTTTTTCCCCCTAAAGGCAGTTGTTTCCTCCCTGGGTCTCCTAGTGCTGCTCTTGGTGGAACTGTTTGGAGATGTTTGTTGATATCTGGAGCTACAGAAACTGAACTGATGGGATTTGGCCCTTTATGGAGATGTTTGTTGGGATTTGGCCCTATATAAATAAAGTTAAACAGAGTTGTCCGTGTGCCTCCAGTAGGGGGCGCCTCTTTGGTTCTTCCCCCTAAAGGCAGTTGTTTCCTCCCTGGGTCTCCTAGTGCTGCTCTTGGTGGAACTGTTGTTCTTCTTGAAATAACTCAGAGTCTATTTGGAGATGTTTGTTGGGATGTGGTGTTATATAAATAAAACGTCTGTGTTTCTCCTGTAGGGGGCGCTCACCTCCCTGCGGGCCCCCGGGGCCCCGGCCCCCCCCCCC